GTCGTGAGGCTTGAACTCTGGGGCCTGGGCGCTGTCCCTCAGCTCTTCAGCTCAAGGCAAGCGCTCTTCCATTTGAGCTATAGAATCACTTCTGGTTTTCTAGTGGTTTATTGGAGATAGGGGTCTCATGGTCTTTCCTGCCTGGGCTGGCTTTGAACCGCGATCCTCAGATCTCAGCCTCCTGAGTAGCTAGGATTACAGGCGTGAGCCCCCAGCGCCCGACTATTCTTCTGTTCTAAAGTTTTTTTTTTTTTTTTGGTTAGTTGTGGGGCCTGAACTGTAGGCCTGGATAGTGTCCCTCAGCTCTTCAGCTCACGGCTAGCACCCTACCACTTGAGCCACAGCTCCACTTCCAGCCTTTTCAGCTTACGTGGTGCTGAGGAATCGAACCCAGGGCATTATGCATGGAAGGCAAGCACTCTACCACTGAGCCACCTTCCCAACCCTGATGAGGCATTTCTTAATTACCTGAACATAGGCTTCTGGTAAGTTCTCTGCCAACCATCCAGGGCTCTTTCCCTTGTTCCAATAAGGAGATCACTTGAGGCTTAGGAATATAAAATCCTGTTCATGAGAAAAGACATGGAACTTGGTTATGCAGTGGGCAAATGAGATCCATTCTTTTGATGATCAAGCAAGAGATGCCATGACAGGAACAGCTAAAGAGGATAATACTTCAGCCATAGCCCACTGGAGCTGCCCATTGCCAAGGCTTCCTTTCCATTTTAAGAAGGAGAAGAAGGAACAGAAATGTCAAGGGTTTACTGGAAAAGCAGCTAAGAGTTTCACTGTGGAAAAAGGAGACATTCCAAAGGAGAGCTGCGGATTTCTGGTATCAATGCCCTTACCCATTGAAAGCAGATTGCTATAGTTCTCCAACATCACATCTCTGTACAAGTCCCTCTGAGCAGGGTCCAGGCATCCCCATTCTTCCTGAGAGAAGTCTATGGACACATCACTGAACACCACCGATTTCTGAAACTATAAACATATGTGCTCGCTGTGTAAGTGAGAAATGTTTCTGAGACTATTGTCCTTGTATTGTTGGATAAACCAAGTCAGTAATTGTGTTGGTGTCACTGAGAAACAGTATCTGAGCTCAGGAGTAATGATATGATTTTAGACTTTGAAAAGGGAGCAATATCCTCACTCTGTCCATACAAAGGTCCATACAGTAGGCAGAGAACACCAAGTCACTAGCTTGTTTTCCAGTACCATTTTCAAATACAAGAACTGGGTTAAGTCACAAAGGATCAGGATAAGTCTGAACACCTTGTTAATACCACAAAGGAAGAAAGTTACCAAAAGCTACTAAGATCATGTTGAAAAGCCACCTGGAAAACATTTTTCTGGGCCCAAAATTGCACAACCTGTTACACAAACTTTGAAGAATCATAATTGCAATGGACTTACCTCATTAAAAATGTTTCATCTGGCCGGGTGCTGGTGGCTCACGCCTGTAATCCTAGCTACTCAGGAGGCTGAGATCTGAACACTGCAGTTCAAAGCCAGCCTGGGCAGGAGAGACCGTGAGACTCCTATCTCCAATAAACCACCAGAAAACGGGAAGTGGCGCTGTAGCTCAAGTGGTAGAGCGCTATCCTTGAGCTGAAG